TATATAATATGTGAGATATATATATATATAATATATATAATATGTTTTTTAATCCAAGGTCACGCACAGTCTGACTCCTGCATGCATGCTTATAGTTGGCATGATAATTACTAAGGTTTGGGGATCAGAATGATACCAGATTTCTCTCAAAGTGAAAAGGAAAACACAAGGAAACAATGCCTTCACTATTCTGACACAAATGATTGTCAAATTGTAGCAAACCACATTTTTCAACCAAGTGGGATAAAAATATCTTGGACCAGGAATATAGCTCAGCAGCACAAGCGCCTGCCTGGCAAGCGCAAGGTCCTCAGCTCATTTCCGGTACCCGCCCCCCCAAAAAACCCCAACCTTTAGTCATACAAGATATCAACATGTTTTCATCTCATGTACTCTTTCTCAGCAAACTACTGGAGGAAGGGCTGGGGAGGTGGCTGGAAGGTACAGTGCTTGCCTAACGTGCTTGAGGCCCTAGGTTGGCTCTCAAGCACTGCAAAACAAAACAAAGAAACAAAAATTAGTGTAAAATGTTCTCCAAAATGAGAATCAAACTGGGAAAGAGAAAAACCTGAGACCCAGATCACAGGACCTAGCAAAGGAGAGAGATGAAGCAAAGATAATAACTGTACGGCAGGCTCAGAGTGCAACCAGCCCATAATGGAGCTAGAAGCCTTCCAGGAAAGAAGGAACGGAGTGGATTCAGTTGTGTGAAAATTGCTGGGCATGATGGTGCATGCTTACAATCCCAGCCACTCAGCAGGTGAGGCAAGAGGATCAAAAGTTCAAGGCCATCCTGGACAACACAGACCCTCTCAAAAAATTCACCCCCAAAACTCCCCAAAAGTGTGAAAAAATTATATTGGAAGGATAATAGTATAAAAAGAATTAGTGATATTCACATAGAAACCTAGCAATCGATTCCTGGTGCCAAACAAACAACAACAAAAAGAAACCTGGCGAATGAAAACAATAACAAAAAAAAAAAAAAGGAAGCAGCTCAACTAAAAACTATCTTTTATTTTGTTTTGTTTTATTTTGTCTTTTTTTTTTTTGTAGCACAACTCGAACTCAGGACCTTGTGCTTGCCAGACAGGTGCTTGTGCCGCTGAGCTACATCCCCAGCCCTGTTTTGTCTTTTTGATACAGGGTCTCACTATGCAATTCAGGCTGGCCTTGAGTTCACTTTGCAGCCCAGGCTGGTCTCCAACTCACAAAGATCCTCCTGCCTCAGCCTCTCGAGTGCTGGGATTACAGGCATGCACCATCATCCATCATGCCCGTTCCTAAAAACTACCTTGTAGAACATATGAAATGCAATCAAACTATCATATTCAACAATGAATATTCATATAGTTACTAAACCATGAATAACAAAAAAAGTAAATAAATATACTCAAGCTTTCTTCCTGCTCAAAGCTCTTACATAGCTTTCCACAAACTCTCTGACTGTTCCCACCTCTGGTACAGATTACCACCTTTGCCTCACGGCACTCTTTTAACCTC